TTCCTCCTCGATTCTCCGGCGTAGTGTTCTCCCACGCCCAGGGGACGTCAGCTCACATCCTTCAGGGAGAAATCTCCTCCCTGCTGGAGAAGGGAGCGATATGCATTGTGCCTCCCGATCGGTCTCAGAGCGGTTTCTACTCCAGGTACTTCCTGGTCCCGAATCGGGGAGGGACCGGGATTCGCCCGATCCTGGATCTGAGGGCCCTGAACCGATGCCTCAGAAAGTACAGATTCAAAATGCTCACGCTCTCATCCCTTTTGCGTCTGATTCACCAGAACGACTGGTTCACCTCAATCGACCTGAGGGACGCATACTTTCATATTCCCGTGTACCCTCCACACAGGAAATTTCTGAGGTTTGCCTTTCAGGGAGTGTGTTATGAATACACCGTGCTCCCATTCGGCCTCTCGCTGAGCCCGAGGGTGTTTGTCAGGTGTACGGAGGCAGCGATCGCCCCTCTGAGAGGGAGGGCCATTCGGCTGGCCACGTATTTAGACGACTGGCTCCTGCTGGCACGGTCCAGAGAGGAGGCAGCGTCAAACACGCTGGTTGTGATCCATCACTTGTGTGGTCTGGGTTTCAGAATAAACTGGCAGAAAAGCGCTTTACTCCCCTCCCAGAAAATAACCTTTCTAGGTCTGAATCTGGACTCAGGGGCGTTCACGGCCCGTCTCTCGACACCGCGCGTGAACGCGCTCTCGCTCTGCCTGGCGCGCTTCCGCCTACACAGTTCGGTGCGGTTTGCGTTATGCCTCAGGCTTTTGGGTCTCATGGCGTCGGCTATTTCAGTGGTACCACTCGGCCGTCTACACATGAGAGATTTTCAACGCTGGGTGGCTTCTCTGGGTCTCTCTCCAGTGCGCCACAGAGCGCGCAGGGTGACGGTCTCTGCAGCGTGCGTCGCGGCGCTCCGCTGTTGGCGTCACCCCTCCCTCTTGGCACAGGGGGTGCCTTTGGGGTTGGTTCTCGTGAGGAAAGTGGTCACGACAGATGCGAGCCTGTCAGGTTGGGGGGGGGGGCTCCTGGAGGGTCGCTCTGTCAGGGGTGTGTGGAGCAGAGAGCTCTGGGGGACACACATAAATTATCTGGAACTCCTCGCGGTCTTTCTAGCCCTGAGGCGCTTCCTGCCTTTTCTCTCTGGCCATCATGTCCTAGTGAGAACAGACAACACCACGACTGTGGCTTATATAAACCGCCAGGGGGGGCTGCGCTCCGTGCGGTTACACACGCTGGCACGCACACTGATCCTATGGTGCAGCAGGCATCTCCTCTCAATCAGAGCCACCCACGTCCCGGGTGTTCTGAATCGGGGGGCGGATCTGTTGTCCAGAGGGACACCCCTGTACGGGGATTGGAGCCTGCATCCAGCAGTGTTGGAACAGATTTGGATCCGGTTCGGCAGAGCCGTAGTGGATCTTTTTGCCTCCAAGGAGAATGCTCAGTGTCCTCTGTTCTTCTCCCTGCGCGACCGAGACGCTCCACTCGGCGTGGACGCGCTGGCGCACGACTGGCCACGGGGACTGCTTTACGCTTTTCCCCCAGTGGCCCTGATACCACCCACCTTGCTGAGGGTACGAACCCAGCGCCACACTCTCATTCTGGTGGCCCCATACTGGCCAGCCATGCATTGGGTGGCGGACATTTTCCAGCTCCTGGAGGGCCAACCTTGGAAACTGCCGCTTCGCAGGGACCTGGTGTCCCAAGCGGGAGGCTCGATCTTCCACCCTCATCCAGAACGGCTGGCCCTGTGGGCCTGGCCCCTGAGGGGTGTGGGCTAGTGTCAGCAGAGCTGCCCCAGGCAGTCATTCGAACCATTCAGAATGCTAGGGCCCCCTTCACTAGGTCCCTATATGACTGTAAATGGAGGGTGTTTGAAGCCTGGTGTCAGGGCAGGGAGGTCTCACCCTTCCAATGCCCGGTGAACGTCATTCTGTCTTTCCTGCAAGACTTGTTGGATGGGAAGAAGGCTTTCTCCACCATTAAAGTGTACCTAGCAGCCATTTCCGCCCGACACTTGGGTTTTGGGAGGAAATTGGCAGGTCAACACCCCCTGGTGTGTAGCTTCATGAGGGGCGCACGCAGGCTTCTCCCTGTGTCCCGACCCCTGGTGCCCTCATGGGATCTGTCCTTGGTGCTGTCGGCCCTCTCCGGGCCTCCATTTGAACCTATGGACGGCCTGGACCTTAAGATCCTGTCTCTTAAGGTGGTGCTACTCCTGGCTTTGGTATCTGCAAAGCGAGTTAGTGACTTACAGGCTCTCTCTGTGCACCCATCCTGCACCCAGTTTGCACCAGGTGACATGAAGGTGTCCTTGAAGCCCAACCCTGCCTTTGTGCCTAAGGTGGTGGGCTCCTTTTCTCCTATTATCCTCACAGCTTTCTACCCGCCACCCTTCTCCTCTCCTGAGGAGGAGCGGTGGCACAAGCTGTGTCCGATTCGCGCGCTCAAGGAGTATGTGAATCGGACGGAGAACCTTCGCAGGGGGGACCAGCTTTTTGTGTCATGGGGTGGGCCTCGTAAGGGGAAACCCGTCACAAAGCAGAGGCTTTCCCACTGGATTGTGGAGGCTATTTCTATGGCTTACTCCTGTCAGGGCATTCAGGCTCCTGTTGGGCTCAGGGCCCATTCTACTAGGGGCCTGTCTGCTTCTTGGGCCCTTTTTCGGGGGCTGTCAATCCAGGAGATTTGCGCTGCAGCAAGTTGGGCTTCTCCACTTGCATTTGCACGCTTCTATAAGCTTGATGTTTCGGTCCCTGCAATGACTCACACGATTCTGAGTGTGGGGTCTTTGGCGGGCCAAGACGTATCCCTGTAGGTTGGTGATCGCTGGATAAGCTGTCTGGCAATACGGGAGTCTCCATATCCCATAGTGAGACATCGAAACGAATGTTAAGAAAGAGAACTTTAGGTTACTATCGTAACCCCGGTTCTCTGAGTAACATGAGTGAGATGTCTCACCAGACAACCCTTCTTGCTGGGCGAAGCGAGAAGAGGTGTTTATCTTGAATAGTGCGTGCGTGGGGACGCTTGCTACTTATAGTAGCAGGGGGACGCGTACGTCACGGTCACTGGCCAATCAGGATTGGCGTATTGAGATAAGTGCTTCTGAGGAATCCGCGGAGGGGCGTATCCCATAGTGAGACATCTCACTCATGTTACTCAGAGAACCGGGGTTACGATAGTAACCTAAAGTTTTTATTTGACTATTTTTCTGTCCTGTCTGTTTATTATCTTCCTGCATCTCCTCTCAATCCTAAAGAGAAACTGCTACCTGGGTTCATATATATTCACCTCATGAGTTACCTTTGAACTGCAGTTCTAAAAGACCGCAAAAACAGCAGAGTGCCGCTGCTCGCCGACCGCATCAGTGAGGTGAAGTTATTGGAGGACAAAACAGGTGATGCGCCCCGCTCCACCGCAGCGAAACGCATCAGGCACAAATAAAAGACAGAAAACATCAAAGGAAATGAGCCGACATGAACGATCCCGTGTTAAATTTGTTTTTGAGGTGGCGACAACTAATTTGATAATATTACTGTGGCCGTGCTCAGGACGCAGATGTCTGGAGCGCGTCAACGATCAGAACTTTGCATGCGCAAGCTGGTTAAGATTAGGATGGGGTTGAGGGGAAGGTTAAATTGCAAGAGGGTAAACGTCACAATTTGGTTAAATATCCGTTTTACGGCGGGTGTCAGTACCGGCGCTCTGGCACAGCGCGTTGCCTCCACAGGAGCTCGTTACCTGCTGTCTTTTCTGAGGACTGCATCTTGTCGCTCATTATCACGTGACAGGCATAAAAAGTCACTACAGAGCAGTGAAGTCAACTAGTCGACTAGTTCATACAACCCCTAATATATATATATATATATATATATATATATATATATATATATATATATGTATGTATATATATGTATGTATGTATATATATGTATGTATATATATGTATATATGTATGTATATGTATATATATATATTTATATATGTATGTATATGTATATATATATATATATTTATATATTTATATATGTATGTATATGTATATATATATATATATTTTTTTTTTTTTGTATATGTATGTATATGTATATGTATGTATATATATATATATATATATATATATATATATATATATATATATATATATATATATATATATATGTGTGTATGTATGTATGTATATGTATGTATATGTATATGTATATATATATACATATATATATATATATATATATATATATATATATATATATATATATATATATATATATATATATATGAATGTATGTATGTATATGTGTATATATATATATATATATATATATATATATGCGTCTGTGTCTGATGAACACACAGGTCTGTGCCTGGCGCTGCTGCTGAGGCGTGGTGCTGCAGCTTCATCCACCGTGGTGAGAGTCTGCATCCACACCAGCAACAGCAGCGGTTGGTCATGGTCTTTAGTAAGTCTGCAGGCCCAACATGTTCTGCGGCTCACAATATTTTTTTCCTTTTAGAGGACACGTGAGCTCAAAGTGGTGGGAACTGTTCTGTTAAACTCTTTAAGTCTCCTTATGAAATGGTTCGGTTTATTTAGAACTGAAACTGAAATTTGGCCAGTTTGTTTTCATCATTTCACATGAATCAGTTTTTTTAATAGGCAACAGATTAGCTGAAATTCTCTAAAATAAAACCTGTCAGTGGGTGTGTTAGAGATAGGAGGACATCATGTGATGGATGCACCTTAGTTAGCCCTCCAGTGCATGGGAACATGTAGAGCAGCAGATCCCAGCCAGAATTTAATTGGATTTAAGCCCTTCAGAGGGTCGTGGAGCTAAATCTTCTGACCTCAGCTGCATACTGTTGTACATGTGATCAGAAAAAAAATGACTCATCATTTTTGGCTTTCTTCCAAAGTCACTGATGTGGCATGTACAATCCCGCCATCTAGTGGAGGAAGGCTCATATTTCAGGTGGTGACCTTATTTTTCTGTCTACAGGTGATGGACAGCTCCATGCCTCTGATTGGTGAACACATTGAGGAGGACAAACAGCTGATCACACAGATGGTCATCAACAAGATGGCCCAAGTGCTGCTGGGAGTTTCCACACCTCAACCTTCTGCTGTGAAGGTATCATTTTCACCAAACCCATTCGATGAAACCTTCAAACTGTTATAAACATGTTTTGATAAATTGCAGATTAAACAGATTTGTCAGCTATCACCATCCACCTATCCATTTATCCATTCATCCTGCTATTGAACCATCCATCATCCATCTACCCATCCTGCTATCTATTTATCCATTCGTTCTGCCATTGAACCATCCATCCAACCACCCACCCATCCATCCATTCTTCCTGCTACTGATCCATCCATCCATCATCCATCCATCCATCCATCCATCCATCCAACCATCCATCCAACCAACCAACCAACCACCCATCCATTATTCCTGCTATTGATCCATCCATCATCATCCATCCAGCTATTGATCCATACATCATCAATACAGTCATTCCACCCATCCATCCATCCATCCATCCATCCTTCCTTCCTGCTAATAATCAATTCATCCATCCATCCATCCATCCTGCTATTAATCCATTCATCATCCATCCATCCATCAGTCCATTTTCCCCCAGAGATAATCTTTTATCTGTATTCCTCCACATGCAGACTACACAGCCCAGACGAGGTAAGGCTATTTATTATTACACCCATTTGTTTGTTTGTTTGCTTCTGTATTGAAGCAAAGTCTAATACAGGAGCACTCCTGAAGCAGGTATTGTGTGTTTTACATCCTGCAGGAGGACACCGCTCTGCTTCAGCCTCTCCATCCCAATCGGCTCAGGGATCGCCTCAGAGAGCCCGCTCAGCCACCACCTCTCCCAGCCAGGCCTTCCAGCCAGGTCCCATCCCTGCCTCCTCTGGGCCAGGAGCTCAGAAACAGTCGCCACAGCTAAAGTAAGTGCAGATTAGAGGTCTAGGAGAGCTTTATAAAGTACAAAAGATCAACCATAAATTATTGATTTCTTCACTTTACAGTAAATCCCAGTCACTCACCAACACCTTCACTGAGACATTACGAGGAAGCTTGACTGATGATGAGGCCAAAGCCGAGACCATTCGCAGCCTCCGGCAGTCCTTTGCCAGCCTCTTCTCTGACTAACAGTCTCTCCTTCACGTCATCAGGTCAACGACAGGAAACAAATCAAACTTCATCAGTTTTGGAACTTCAGTTTTGTGTTTCTTCTTTTTAGTAGTTGTGACATTTTTCATCCATCCTCAGATCGTCAATAGATATCACCGGAAAGGCAGAGCCATGTTTAGTAAATTAGATCAAATGATGCCAGACTTCCAGAGGTGATATTTTTCCCATCTTCACTTTGAGTCTTGTCAGTTTTGCTGTAAATGTCACCACAAACTTGTGTATCCTTGAATCCAGATCAGCTGACGAAGGTTTGGCCTTTTCTGGTGGTAAAACATTTCAAGAGACTCATAATTTAGTGTGTGCTGCTCAGTATATATTCCTTCTACACTGTCTTTGTGCAGCAAGTGAAACTATTGTTCCTTTAAAATGCATATGTGTTCATCTACTTTGACTTTATACTTTTAACTGACACGCTGCTTCCAAATTATTTTCAGATGGCAATATTCTCACCCAGAAGCGTTCCGTTTAACTGATGAAAAACCCTCACAGTTCACCAGCGAGCTCTCCAAGCATCCTAGCCTGCATTTTCTCAGCAAACACACATTGGTTTAGTGACCTCTCTGCCTTGACTGACCTTTACCAAAGTGCTTTTAAACAAAATATATCAAACCCTCTGCACTGGGTCAAGACAAAAGTCACAAGGAAAACGAAAACCTTTCAGCTTGTGATTTTTTTACAAGGTGCAAAATGCTGTACTGGCTTACAGCCGTCGTCTTCCATCACAGCTCAGATCTTCCCCTGTAGTTGTTGTTTTGTTAAATGTCACACCTGGCGTATGGAAACTACTAAATGCTTTTTGTGAAAGAATCATAAACATTAGGTGAATAGTGAAGATGGGAACTTTTGAGGCTGACTTTGTGATTAACCATCCAGCGAGAGGTAGTACAGCTTATCTTCCATACTGTAAATTCCCATCTCTTATCTTTATTCCCTCACCCAGCGAAAGCTGGATTTACAGACGTGTGTTTTTGAACTACAGTGGCAGCAGACATCCTCCTCCAACATTCACACCGTTTTTGGATCTTTGCAAATAGCAGCCGTATATGGAGTCGAACTGGAAAATCGGGACAAGCCTGAAATCGTAACTATTCTTCCACTTTTATTTACAGCTTCTTAGAAGGTTTCCTGGAAAGTGAAATTCTGAGGAAAGTGCTCTTAGCTCACCACATGCTGTCATCGGTCCATTAAGGAGTTGGGGGGGAGGGGGGGGGGGGGGTACTGGGGATGTAACAAGTGAAGAATGTCAGCTATGTTCTGCCACCTGTTGATGTCCACTGCTCTGAGAGAATTTAACTCGGCAAATAGATGAGAAAGATGAGAAAAACAACCTCGATTCTAAAGAAAACAGCTGATTTGATACCGAAGCTGTGAAAAGCCTCTAAACCTATGAATGGTGTCCTTTTAATGACATCCCTAGTTCTCAGGAAAACATCTTCAGACTTTAGATGACTGTTGGGCCTCAGATGGTGCATTGTAAAGATTCTACTATATCTAAAATAGAAGGGTTTGAACTAGATTACGCATTGTAATTTTTTACTAGAGCTGATCAACATCAGTGAATTCACCGTTTAGCTGAGAGCCAGTTCTGCGTAAAGGGAAGGGAAGCTATCTCCAGCTTCATGTTTTTCATCTAAAGTCAGACATCTGAGGCCATTTATTTTGTGGATTGTTTTTCCTGAGACCTGATGAATTCTTTAAAAGTTCTCCACCCATAACTGATCTGAATGTCTAAGGAAGTCACCTAGATCTCTGTCAGATTCAGCCATCAGACACCAGCTTTAAAATGTGAAGATTAAATAGTATTTTCATACATGGATTTACCACCACAGAATCCATATTTACCACATAAGTTTCGGGATGTATGAGAAGACTATGCAGCAGTTACAAAGATCCTATTAAAATAGATGAATACATGCTGGGATCAAACCTGATGTGTAGGATTTTTCTCCTACCCCCGTGTTGCTCTTGTAGGAAAATTTTTTGAGTGATTGATTTTTCAATAACATTGATGAAAAAGGCAATTAATTACTGCGGAGTGTAAAGAACAGAATCCTGCTGCTCATCGAAGCATTAAATGAACCTGTCATGATTTATAATAGCAATTACATAATGGTCAAATCTATTTAAATGCATATGTTTCTGTGTAAAAACATCTGGGAATGAGTGCGTCTGATGTTCCAGAAAAGATAACTTGCCAATTTTGCAATAATTAATAAACTCAAAGACATTTTGTTTTAAACTCTGAAACTTGACTCAGAGACATTGTCCCTTTTTATTATTTTACTTGGATTTTCTTTGTCTTGTTTAACAAGAGCTGGCATAAAATGTTGTTTCAAGCATTTAAGTTTGAGGCAGAAATGAATGATCTGGTGTTGGGCAGGAGTTGAGAATCCATGTTGTGAGAACTTAAAATTGACAGTACTGTAGAGTCTGTTGAGTTCTGTAAATGCTGAGTCACTGTTTGGGAATCTCTATTTTAATTTGTTTGATGCAAACAGCCTTGAACCTTTGTGATGGGAAACATTCTTCTACCTTTTTGCTTTCATAATGTGTTAATAATAATCAGGGACAGAAAATAACAACAATCAACACTAGGTGTTTTACACAGGCGAGAGAATGGGCAGCCATATTCTGTTAGATTGGGCCGCAACCTGTGGATTTACCTAACATTTGTTAAAAATCTAGATATTCCCAGTACATCCTGCGAGGGCTGCAAATCTTTGTTATTTTTCTCTCATGGACATTAGCAGAACATCTATGATAGCTTCCAGTCAGGTTTTCGTAGAGCTCATTCTACTGAAACAGCTCTTCTTAGGGTCTCTAATGACCTTCTGACTCACAGTGATGCAGGGGACTGTTCTGTTCTGGTCCTGCTGGACCTGACGGAAGCCTTTGACACTGTCGACCATCACCTGCTACTGGAGAGGCTGAGACTGGGTAGGCCTATCAGGAACTGCTCTGGAGTGGTTCTTCTCTTATCTCTCTGAGCGTTCCTTTTCTGTGGCCGTCTCCAAGTTTAGGTCCTCTACCACCTCTCTTACCCATGGTGTCCCACAAGGTTCTGTGCTGGGGCCTCTGCTCTTCCTCCTCTATCTGCTTCCTCTTCAGCACATCCTGAGCTCCTTCAAAGGAATCTCCTACCATCTTTATGCAGATGACATCCAACTGTACATCTCCTTTAAGCCCCATTAGATGTCTAAGCTGCAGCTGTTACACACCTGCTTAGACTCTATCTGGATGGCTGGGAGCTTTCTTCAGCTGAATGAAGATAAGACTGAGATCCTCATCTGTGCCCCAGACAAGCTGGTTCCCAAAGTCAGAGACTCTCTTGGTCAGCTTGCTTCTCACACCAAACCTTCTGTCAGGAATCTTGGCGTGACCTTTGACCCAGCTCTCACCCTGGATTCTCATGTCAGTTCTCTTGTTCGCTCTTCCTTCTTGCATCTCACGAACATTGCTAAGCTGAGTCCCATTCTGTCCCGCTCTGAACTTGAGACAGTTATCCACACCTTCATCTCCTCACGCTTGGACTACTGTAACTCTCTTTTCACGTGTCTGAGCAGAACCTCCCTGAACCGTCTACAGGTGGTTCAGAACACCTGTGCTCGGCTTCTGACCAAGTCCTCCAAACACACCCACATCACCCCGCTTCTCCTCCAGCTTCACTGGCTGCCAGTCAACTTCAGGGTTCATTTCAAGATCTTGGTTCTGGTCTATAGGGCCTTACATGGACAAGCACCATCTTACATTGGTGATCTTCTTAGTTCCTACACCCCCAGCAGGTCCCTGAGGTCCAGTGACCAAAGCCTACTGGTTGTGCAGCGCACCAGGCTAAAGACCAAAGGTGACAGATCATTTGCTGCTGTGGCCCCCAGACTCTGGAACTCTCTCCCCCTGAGCCTGAGATCAGTGGACTCAGTGGACTCCTTTAAAAAGCAGCTGAAGACTCACTTGTTCAAGCTGGCTTTTGTATGTTTGTATGTATTGTTTTTGTGAAGCGCCTCGTGATTTTTATCTTGAGAGGCGCTGTAGAAATGATATTTTCTTCTTCTTCTTCAGTGGCCCGGGCTAGCATTAGCAGTAGCTTGGGAAAGTGTTAGCAGTGGCCCAGGCTAACGTTAGCAGTAGCTTGGGATTGTATTAGCAGTGGCCCAGGCAAGTGGTAGCAGTAGCTTGGGTTAGCAGTAGAAGAAGAAGAAAAGATCTTTTCTATAGTGCATCTCAAGGTAAAAATCACGAGGCGCATCACAAAAAAAAACAAAAAATGTAAAATACAAAAAACAATTTAGAGAATGATTACAAATATATATTAAAATGAGCAAAAATAGACAATTGTTATTAAAAAATAGAGAGAGAGTGAATTGGAAAGGGGGAAATCAGTGGATCCGGAGGAAGGTGGAATAGGTAGGGAGAGCAGAACAAGGAGAGGTGATAATGGTCACACCAAAACCAGCTTGAACAGGTGAGTTTTCAGCTGCTTTTTAAAGAAGTCCACTGAGTCCACTCAGGGGGAGAGAGTTCCAGAGTCTGGGGGGTCACAGCAGTAGCTTGAGATAGTGTTAACAGTAGCCCACGCTAGCATTTACCAGGGCTGCCAACTCTCATGCATTGTGTGAAATGCACGCATTTGACCCTCTTCACACGCTCTCATGCAACAACTCCAATATCTCACGCTGATTAACCCCCCCCCCCCCCCCCCTTCCCCAATGGGATAAATAACTGAATGCATGAAAATTAATTTTGTTCACAGAAATAATTCTTGAACGAACTGTTAATGAGATTTTTTGAAAGTCATGCTAGCATTAGCTTTTAATTTGCAGGACACTTATACTAAAAAGGAAAGTTTTGCTGTCTGCTGTCCCCACCTCGCTGTTCTGGCTGCTGTTCTGACTTCAGGAATGACAGGTGGCATTTAACTGAACAATAGATTGTTTTCAGTATCAATAACAAGCCTGTGTTTATAATATTGGGAGACATCCTCACTAACCAGAAAAATGTGATCAATATAGTTTTCTAATTTTACTGTTATGCTTGTTGACTTTTTGGTGAATTTGGTAAATGTTTTTCACTGGGAGACTTTTGGTTTGTTTTTGGTTTTTGCTTCAAAATGAAGACAACTCTTTGGAGGAAGATGATTTTCAAACTCAATGTAGTTTTGAATGCTTAAATCTAACCAAACAGTAATTAAAAGAAACTAATTTCAACTTAAGCAAATCTGGAAGCAGGATTGTTTTTCCTGTCAGATCTGATAACCAATGCTTTTAATTTTTCTTTACTTTACCAGACTGTATAACCAAATATTACCAGTCTGTGTTCAACTGAGGCTTTCTGTCCCATTATTCTATTTATTTCTGCAGTAACTGATAAGTATTTCTGCCTCAGCAACCTCTAGCATCTTGTCATTGAGAACTTTTGCAATCCTTTCTAAACCTTTGGCTCTGTGTCAACATGGACCAAATTATCATTTTATTGTGAAACCCCATTAAAATTGTAATCGTAATGTTCTGTCGTCAGTGTAGAGATTATTATTATTCAGCGTGCAACACAGAGTGATAAGCCATAATGGAACAATAAGGATTTCCTTTCCCCAATGTGCCACACAGTAATGCTGCGACATCACTCATAATCCCACATATTGATTTTAATCACTGTGTTTGTGGTATGATGTTTTTATTGTAACTCTGCCAGAATAAATTATCACATACTTGCAATTTGAGTTTAAACTACATTTTGGAAAATGAGACTTAGCTGTTCACATTTGATGTCAGATTATAACATACTAACCAGATCTATGAGTTAGGAACAAATAAAATGTCTCGTGTTTCTTAACTTATCGATCTGACTCAATTGGAACTGGGCTTCAAATTTCTCTACCTCAAGTTTGATATCGGAAGTGACAGAATTTGTGCAAATCTTCAACATCCTCATCAGTTTGACACGTGCAGCATAGAAAAACAATAATTTCTGTGATCAGATCTTCTGTCAACATCTCAAGCGTACAGTAGCAGGATGGAATCTGTGTGCCTTGCATGAAACAACTACAGCAGAACTATGATTAAACTTTTACTTAAAGTGTAAGTACAGATCTTTTGAAGGGGTGTAGAAAGCTCTCTCTCTCTCTCTCTCTCACTCTCTCTCTCTCTCTCTCTCTCTCTCTCTCTCTCTCTCTCTCAATGGTCTCAATCTAGAAAGAATAGAGATACATTCTGACTGGAATTGTTTGAGGGGGACCAATATCAAAATTGGTTTCTGTGGTTTAATCTAATTTAATTATGTTATTTCAAGGAAAGAGTTTTGTATTAAACGATTATTTCCATAAAAGTAGGGGTTGGGATTTGATGTTTATTGCACTTCCCATCGCAGTTTCATGTTTGTCAAAGTGAAACTGAGGCCTTATAAATTAGCTTTTTCATGAACTGCTTTGAAATTCTGGTGATTAGAGTTGTTTTATTGCAGCTTTTGAACGGACCTGCTATGACTAGCTGTTAGTTTGTTTATTTAGTCAGATGTCATCTTTATTTCTCTAAACTGAGGTAATTCAGTGAGCTGTTTATTAAATTTATGATGTTAATTTTCCACAAATAGGGATAAAAACCTATTTTTAATGAGGAATAATGCGATAAATTACAGTCTTTAAAATAGGTGTTAAAATGTAAAAAAAAATTAAAAATACTTCAAACCTTAGAGCCAGTAGCATTACTGGTTTCCAGCTGTTTAAATGTATTGTTAAAATTGTTGTTATCCATTTTTATTGATAGTAAAGAGAAACAATTAAAACATGCTCGATAGCAGCTCTGGCTTTAAACCTACCTTGATCTCAGTGCTGCGTTCTTGTGTCAAATTGAATTTAAAAAATTTGTCAGCACGTCCTCCAAATGGTGCAAATAACCATACAGCAGAGTTTACTAAAGGAACCAGTAAAACTAACCAGTTTGTTCGTTAAAAGATCTGAACTTTGGCTTTAATTCTCAGATTTCTCTTAGAGGAATTACAGACATGCCGATCAAAATATCAACTCTAACCCATAGCTCTTTTTAACATTAGAAAAATAAAGTAAAATAAAGGTCTCCTTCTATAACATATCAAGTAATATCTGGGTGTTTTGTAATATATCACTAGAGCACAATATGAACTGAACTAATAAAAATGCAGCATGAATTGCTTCGTTAGTTCCGTTAATATGGTGTTATGAACATCATGTACGTACTGCACATTGGTGGTAGCTTGATCTTTGTTTCCAGGTGAGCCCTAACAGGGGCTTTTGACTGGATGTGTAAGCGTTGCGTAACGTCTCCGAACCGTAGTGTGCAGCAATTAACCGCCGCATAACAGATGGGCATTTCCACCGGCCGCAAAGGGTTACGTTTTGGAAGCTCTGAAATGTAGGTATGTGTCACTTACTCTTCAATCTATTTTTTTACATGCCAAGCTTTAATAAGCCATCAAACTCAGCAGTTCAGATCAGGCCAGACAGGAAGTCAAACGCAAAAGCAGTGGACATTTTCTAAATAAAAGTCACATGCTGATTTCATGTTGCTAACATTCAACAATGTACCGGTACATAATTTCCTGTGAAACCTCCTTAACTGAGGTAAACAGAACAGAAAATAAACCACTGACCTTTTCGGATACAAGCTGCGGTCTTTCTTATCGCATGAACTGCTGAAATCACATGTGGTCCCTCAATTCTGTGATTTTGTAACTTCAAGGGACCAGCTGTGTGGGTCGCTTTTGCTGTTGTTTCACAGGGAGCTTGCAGGTGGTGCAGTGTTAGCTGCTGAGTCTGTTTATTAAGTTACGTGCTGCTTACGCATTCAGTGAAAAGTCAGGGTACGGGTGCCCGGGTTAGCCTTTTCCCCTGGGCAGCTTTGCAGGTCGTTACGGCCCTGCTTCTTTTTCTTTGTGCAATCAATTTCCATCACATCACATAAGTCTTCTTTTGCTGACTTGAAGTAAAGGCAATACAGCTTCTTTATCCTTGTTGTGACACTGTTGTGTCTTGTCAACCCAATCGGGATGCGTTGAAGTCAAACGTAACCTGCTGATATGCAGCCACAGAAACTTGCCATTTCTTACAGCTGAAGTCTTTTAACGTGGTTTTATTTACGTGAAAGAAGTCATGTGTCTGCACTGCATTTGTTCCCTCCTCCTTGCTGAATGGTGGGTAGTGTTGTGGTTCTTTAAGTGTATTAGTGTTCTGTATTTTTTGTGTAATTGTGGCATGATAACCAACTCTTCTTATGTGCCTCAGGTGTGTAAAATTTGGTGGTCATGTGATCTTTAATGTCTGGCTGCTTATTTGTGAGAAGTGTGATGCATTTCATGTGTTTCTGTAAATTATTAGTAATATTATTTCTGTAATTTTCTTAATATGTCTAAAAACCCAGATTTCTGTTAAATAAAAGTAAACACTTTTAATAAACCTGTGGTTATGTGTGTTCCAGTCTGGCGCTATTAAACACAGCGATCAACACTGGAGGCTTTTCTCCATTTATGGTCACTGAAACAGAAATTTCAGCTCTTTTAAAATGTCCTGTTTGAAAAGTACTTTAAAAAAACAGAGTGATAATCCCAAAAATGCCTTCATCTTAGAGTAGTAGCCTATTTTATTCCTCTTGGCCTGATTCTTGACATGTTGAATGCTGACTGGCAGCGCCGGCAAACCTGTTGGATTCTAGCGCTTTCTTTCATCTGCTGCCTGATTCACATCATGTTCTGAAGTCAAGGGCATTAGGAGCTAATAGGAAACACATTCAGCCATGAAAATGTCACCACAAACACTCACGCACATCTCTAGTTTCCAAACAATGCCCATCAGGAGTCAGAAATCTCTGGAAAATGTTTGGTTGGTTTTATACACAAATATAAAACGGAGACTTTTCAAACATGACCTCATTTCTAAGACCTGACTGATCCTGGACAGTTTACACAAACAGATTTGATACAATCAAACGGTAAGACTGAAAATGTAAGGTTTCAGACCTGCTGGGCAATTTCTAAACTGGAGAACAAGAATGATCGAGCCATTAAATCTTTTGCAATGATTTAATTATCTGCTTTATTGCACATTTAGGACCAACAAACCTTCACTAGTCCAGGTTCCTGATTTTTTAGTTCTATCCAATCTGCCAAGTGAAAACAATATATATATATATATATATACGTATATATATATATATATATATATATATATATATATATATATATATAACTGCACAAGGCTAAATCATAATGGACTGGGAAGGAACACGGATCTTTAACACTGTTACAACCGTTGACCAGGGTTGTTGTTTAAAATGGAGGCGTCATAACGCAGAGGTGTGTGCAGGTTGATAAAATTCAAACACAGGTTTTATTATAAGGATTTTAAAAACACAAAGCTCTAATTCTAAAAGTTCAAGTGTTAGAAAGGCAAGTGGCTGGCTACGTGTTTAAAATGGGGATTCTCAATTACAACAGACTAAAAGCTTCCAAAGGTCCACTGACCATTGTCACAGAGTTCAGAGCTGAGAGGGAGCCAGCACTCTGGTCCCTCATCTGTTTTAAAAGCCTAAAAATCACTCTGGCTTTCTTCCATTTAAAACAGTCTGAACTAAAACACTTAAAACACTAATGGAGCCAGCAGTGAGAAGTTGCACGGATCCGGACTCTTCTGGAGGAGGAGGGGAGGTCTCTCCTGATCGCTGAGCCGTTGTGGAGTAGGAGATGTCAGTCATTTTTGTCCTGAGCTCCCATCCCCAGAGCAAACAGCCACCAGCCATAACCGAACAACAAAATTACAAAAGATGGATTAAGGAAGCCATAGAAATAAGGGGAAGTGGACACACAAGCATGAACAGAGACGATGGGGTCTACATATTGGATCACACATGGTCATGGGCGAGGAGATCGCGGACAGCAGAGGGCAACACCATTCTCTGCTGCGTGCTGATAAACAGAGAAGGAAGGGACGCTGTTAGTCGAAACCTTCAACATATATACTGGACAATTCATTTCCATAGGCTCCAATATCACTTTTTTGAGGCCAAATGGGAGGTGGCCACCACTGCCATTTTGACCATGTCACAGGTTCCATCAAGCCCAGACAATTCCAAAAAAGGGAAGAGAGGAGGAGCTGAGGATGGGGCTGTAAGGCTGGGATCGACTGACAACACCCGGTTGAACTAGCTACAAGCTAACCTGAAGTTAACCCAAAGCTAACGCGGAGGTGGGAGCTAAGCTAACGAAGGTAGCAACCTAGCTACAACCGGAGTTAACTGTGCACAACACCAGAGCTTCTGAGTCAGAGATACGCCGGGCTGACCGCTGGGTAAAACCGGGTGGAACACAGAGGTCTCCGAGACCAGGTCTCCGAGACCTCCACAAGCTGGCAGCCGCACAGCACACAGAAGATTAGTCAGACAGATACGCCGAGTTGCTGGGAGAACCAGCCGTCAGCCCGCGCAGCTATCAGGAGCCGCGATCAGACAGAGATGGACCGGGCTGCGGGCAGAAACAGCCGGCATTACGGGTGGAAAACATCGGTCTCCTGAGAGCTCCACAAGCCGATAGTCGGAACCCAGCTCCACCAACATGTTATATTTCAACCCATTTTCTAAAGTGCAGCATTATGTTAAATGCACTGGGTTTTACCCTATTACATTTAAATTTCATGGTTAAACAGTACATGTTAAAATCTAAGCTCAGCTTGGCAGTGACCTAAAATACATAAATATAATTTTACTTACCGAAAAAAATGAAGTGGAGACTCCTTGGGCGCTCTATTAGTGCAATTAACGCCACAGCAAGTCATTTTGTCCAACAATTGCACAAAAAATATCCAAAAAAGAATACACAAACACAGAGACTCAAAATCCCGAAGCAGTTTCCAAGCCAGACCAAGGCTCTACTGAGGCCTTTCCACGGAGCTAGCTCTGTGGTCACGTGGGTCTGATGCTCATTAGTTATACAGAATTTTAGGCTTTTAATACACTTAAACAGAAGAGTGAGACCCCCCACCCCCCACCCCCCCAGAGTTGTCATGAGTGTAAACTAGATCATTTAAACAAAAAAAAAATGTTTTGGTACCAGGCTGTAAACATGTTTATTTCTGTTGTGAAATTGGCATTTTTAACATGGGAGTCAATGAGGATTTCACTATATTTGTTCTTCTACTGTACCATGTTCAGCACCTTGGGCTTCCTGACAGGGTTGCGGAAGGCGCTTTATAAATAAAGCTTTGATTGATTGATTGATTGATTGATTGATTGATTGATTTGCTCGCTTCTGATACCAGCCCCCAGCGGATGAGGGTGGAACTGCAATTTTTGGTACTTCCGGGGTTGACTCAATTTTAGAGCCACATTGTGGGGGCTTGGTCGAAACATCAGTAAAAACAAGGTAAAAACAACAGAACCACATAATTTAGGTGCTCTTCTTGTCTGGTAGAAATAAACACAAGAATAGCTGTTCTTCAGTACAAACAACCAACCCAGATTAAACCCTCAGATCTGCTGCTGTAAACTTGTTGGGTTCTCTCTGCTGTGGTCTTAGTAAAAGTTTCAGTATCCCACCTTCTGATCTCTAAAGCAGATTAGTAAACCGATGAAGATGCTGGTGCAGATCAAACTCTGAAAACAGTCCAGAAAAGAATGTGCACCTTGCCTGATAAACCACCAAACATTGGATCCAAATAGTGATTTAGAGATAGGATCCAGTGTTATGTAAGTACGCTCCTCCTGGAAACGCTTGTTTCACTTTGATAAAGTTCACTGCCCTGCACTCCAAGTTTCTCCTCTGATTTATATTGTCCTTAAAAAGCATCAAACCCTCCTCCTCCTCTCATTATTTACCTTTAATCATGATTTGTCCTTCTGCTCACATTTGTTTTCCTAACCAAACATGTGTTGCATACCAGACCCTGGCAGCCTGATGCTAATCTGCTGCCAGGCTGGATTCTCGGGGTGGAATGTTAAATCTTTTATCAGCGGCACGTCTGAGCCCGCCAGGATCCATACAACACAGTGTGTGGAAGTTGTTAAGGGGATAGAAATCACTAACACTGGGCTGAAGTCTGAATTTAGACGTTCATTCTACCATATTAATTTCACCAGCAGGGGGCAGTGTTCTATCAAACTAAATGACGTCCATCTTCTCATCTCAGATTGTCCATCATACCCTTATGATTGTAAAATGTATTTAATTTCTGCTCAGCTTTTTATTGATCTCACATCTATTTGCTTTAAACATCTCAGCATCTACCTGCATGTTTTGTTCAGTTAAAATTTTACCTTTATCTCACTCCTGAGTGGTACCACCCGTTTCTGTCGGAAAAGCTCTGAATCCAGTGTGAGTCCAGAGCTTAACCAGCAGCCGCTCCTGGTTGTGGAAATGAAACCCAAGGGGTAAACTATTCTGTAATCTGCTGTGTGCTTACACAATGCATTAAAAGGTTTTGTCAGGTAGAAATTAACAGGAAGGATGCAGGAAGATGCTGCTTAGCAACAGCTGACGCAAGAATAAATACGCTTGTGCTGATTTTTGTTTTTTTTATGATCAGATGTAAGGAGAGCATTAAGGTTCTGTTGATCTTGTGTTTTACATGAAGTAAGTCTCATCCAGAGAGTCGAACAGATCCACCGTGTGTAAAGTTTAGTGTCTGTCTCAGAGACAATTCTCTTTTATTAGAGAAGTTTACTTGCATTACACACTCATGTGGGCTGTGAGATTCAGTGAGCCAATATAAGCAGGATTAGGGCCGTCACACTCAGGGACATTGTTTTAGGTATACCTTTAAGTCACAGCGTGCACCTTGTCACTTAGCCATCTACACTCACTGCCCACTTTATTTGGTACACCTGTCCAACTGCTTGTTACTGTCATGCAAATTACTAATCAGCCAATCACATGGTGGCAATTCAGTGCTTTTAGGCATGTTGACATGCTCAAGATGATCTGCTGCAGTGGAAACTGAGCTTCGGAACGAGAAAGGAAGGTGATTTAAGTGACTTTGAACGTGGCATGGTTGTTGGTGCCAGATGGGCTGGTCTGGGTATTTCAGAAACTGCTGATCTTCTGGGATTGTCACGCACAACCATCTCTAGGGTTTACAGAGAATGGTCCGAAAAAGGGAAAACATCCAGTGAGTTCCAATTAATTAGTCAAAATAAAGTAGGGACCTCTGAACAAATATACATGTCATAAAGACTAAAAGACCGTTAGTTTAATGTCTTAAATGAGAAAAATACTGCAAAGTAAAGTACTTGTGATTTTTAAACTTTATTTTTTTTTATTCAACTTTGAAACTTTTTTGGGTCCCTGACAGCTGTGGGCCCTTAGAATCTTCCTAATCTTTCACCGCTTTACGGCACCCCTGCACCCATCATTGACATTAGTCAATCAGAGTTGATTGGAGATTCTCAAATTCATCACAAAGACACTTTC